TTGATATTTTTAAACAGTGTTTTAAAATCAGCAAACTGCTTTCAAACCTGAATTTTTTATATATCAGTTTGTGGTCGACCGCCACGGTCGACCGCGCCTGTGTCTTTTGCTGAGTGGGCCGCAGAAACTTTCGCGGTCGACCACCACGGTCGACCGTCAGCTTGAATTTTCCCACGGTCGACCGCCAAAGTATCTGAAAGTTTTCTAAGTTTCAAAGCTGGCTCGCGGTCGACCGCGAGTTTTCCACAGTCGACCGCCGATCTGACCATTGCATTCCAACGACTAGTTCCAGCTGTGTTTTTCTGTGGGCTTTTTGGTCAGTTTTGTGGGCGTTTTGCTGAAGTTTTGAGTAGATATAAATACCCCATTGTCTTCAGCTCTCCTACTAACCCCAAGAAAATGTTTTAACAAAGTTTTAACAAAGGTTTAAGTTTTGTTTAGTGTTTGTTTAAAAAACTTTTAAGCATTTGAGAGTTTGAGTTTGTAAAATTAATTCTACAAGAGTTTGAGGTAATCATCTATTGGAGTTTGAGCATCCAACTATTCTCCCTCTATCTCTTGATCTATTGAGAAGTTTTCTAAACTCTATTTCTAGCTCTTTTTATATATTTGATTATCATTGTTATTAAGCTAGATTTATATTGAGTTTAGTTTTGATTTATATCTCATTGTTACACACACTCACATGAGCTTATCGTATTTTCATACATAGTGTATTTGGGTTGGTGAGAGTTATAACAATTGAGTGTGAGCTTTCATTGTGTTCTCATCCATATTAGAAAACAATCATTTGTTCTATTCGTGCTTAATTGTGAGATTCACTTTGTAATATACTTGTACACCGAGAGAAGCGTGTGGTGTAAGTCGGGAATCGTCCTAAGAGGAATGACGTCGGTTGACGAACCTAGGGAGAGGTTGTATCCGAGCACTTGAGGGAGACACGTCTAGGTCCAACACTTAAGATGGTGTAGAGTGGGATTGCAAGAGTGTTGATTGTAAAATTTTTGGTTAGCTAGAAAACCGAGTGTGAGGTGTAAACGTTGTTCGGGTAAGCGTAGAAAATCCGGTTGTGATAGTGAAGATCTTCTCGAGGTGAGGAGCAGAGACGTAGGTCGAGTGGTTAGACCAAACTCCGTGAACATATCATTTGTTTGAGATTGTATTGGCACACTTATTTTTAATGTTCATATCTTATATCGCCATTGTGTATTGCTCTTTGTTTATTTAACCCACTATCTAGGTTATGTTTATTTCACCATTGCATTAGTTTATATATCCTTGCATATATTTCATCATATACCTCTTTGCTAGGATATATCTCTTTGTTCATATTACATATTCTTGCTCATATCATATTGTATATCTATCTTGCAAGAATAATATTTGAATTAGTTTCAATTGGCATAAAATCGGATTAGATTAGCATAAGACCCTAATCACCCCCTATGGTCTAACAGAAAATTGTGAACTATGAAGTCTACGTGCTTAATTGCTATGGGGTCGAGATGGAGGAAAACGACCCAAAATTATGGATTATATAACCCATAAAAATCATAAATGTTAAAGTATACACATTTAATTTCCATTGAATTAAAACGAACATAACTTAAAAAAACTTGTGGGTTATAGCCTACGGAAATTGAGAATTTTGAAATAGGCGCACTTAATTGCGATTGGGTTGAAATAGAAAAAAAATTGAAAAAGCTTGGGTTATAGCCTATGAAGATTGCAAATTTTGAATTCCATAAGCTTAATTGCTAATGGTCGAGACGGACAAAAATGACCAAAAATATTATGTTATATATGACTCACGGAAATTGCAAATTTTGAAGTAAGCCTACTTTATTGCCATCGTGTCGAATAAAAAAAAGACAAAAATCATGGGTTATAAGAGAAGGTATGTACCTCGAAACAAATATGGGGACTAAAATTGACAATTAAGTTGGACTAAACATGTAAAAGTTAATTGTCAACTTTTGCCAAATTTTGTCCAATAAAGTAGTAGCAGAAGTTAGTATAGGTGGATTAAATTGTCTCCAATATCTTAGATAAATATCATACACGGAGGTTCATGAAAAATGTTCTCTTGTTGAGAAACTACAAGCATTTTCTCCAGAACATGTTGATCATACTTGTGATAGTAAAATAGAGCAACCTATGATGCTGATAAACTGTTACTTCAAAAGTTCAGAGCTATATGGACCAGTGACGTATGTGTCATTTACAACTCAAAGATCAGTCACCATTTTCGAGTAAGAGATTATAAAGAGATTATAAAGAGATAATAAGCAAAAAAAAAAAAAAAATCTACAAATGAGTGAGTTTAAACCAAACACCAGCACTGAATGTTCCCGGAGCAAACTTACATCGGAACATGGGTGTGATATGACATCACTAGAGGGACGCAAAGCAATTTAGCAATTGCAAGAGCACCAAACACCTGAAACCTTTTACAAGCATTAATAATCAATCTCGCCAGATAGATTGAAATGTAGAAATGCACTCATGTAATTAAGGTTACCATGATTCCAGGTGAAGAAGCATGGATTATATCCGGCTTAAATTTTGCTACCTCTCCAATTATTCTTGGACTAAGCGCAAGTGAAAGTGGCACTTTCTGATACCATGGGCAGGGGAAGCTAGAAAAATAGGTAAAGTTAATAAATATGTGTGAATGTACGCCCAACTAAAGCATGATCAATTATGAAAGTAAGAAATCAAATAGTATCCATGAATATCAGATGAATGAGAAAATTTCCAGCAAGTAGAAATGTACATTTTGATTAATTATAATTAACTTTAGTTCATTGAATAAACAATCAGTAGGCAGTGAATATGAGGATCAACATGCACCAGTAAGTAAAAAATTGAGGATCACAAAAAAGCCGTGAGTACAAAAAGGTAAATATTTCAAACCACAGAGCTTCTTTACCTCCATGATCCAATTATTTTAGCTCCATGGAACTCTTGAGGTACTCCTTCATGGTTCGTCACAACTATGACCTATACCCACAAGCATCAAGAACAATCAAGCTAACCATTTGACATTTTCGAAACCAAAAAAAAAAATACCGCACCTCGCATCTTCAAGTTCTAATATCGACGGCAACTAGTTAATAATAATTAGCCTAAAGTTTTGAAAAACCACGAGTTCCGCATAATAAGATAATTTCATCCTGAAATTCCTCTAGCAAGAAGGCGGTGAGAAGAGAAATATACCTCGTCTCCCATTTCCCGCAGATTCTTGATAAAATTCTGGAAACGATTCTTATACCCAGAAACATAACTGCCCAAATAAAATTGACGACTTGTATCAGTTGCTTCAAGTTCCAGACTGACCAACAACACAAACAATCAAAGTTAGGTGCAAAATTGAAGAGAAGAGAGTGACGGGTTCTCACGCAAAAGGAGAAGGCTCGACAAAGATAGCGATTCTTCGAGGCTTAGAGCCGGTCTCTGCGTCCTCCTCGATCACCGGAGGCTCCTCTTCCTCTGCTTTGACCTCTCCAATGGCCATCCTTGTGCTCGCACGAACCAAAACCCTCTGCTTTAATCCAAGATTCCTTCTTTTGGGCGCAAAGAACAATGAGGATGCAGAAGGAGAACAAGAGCAGGAAACCGAAGAAGAGATCCGAGAAGAGGAGGAGGAAGAAGGAGCGGCGGGAGAGAAGGGTAGAGAGGAGAGACTAATAGAAATTGATGGGTTCATGTTTGAGGAAATTTTGGAGCCGGGAGATGTAAATTCGATGGAAGGGGAGATGCTGGATGCCGAAGGGATATTATTATTCTAGTTGAAGGAGGGAATAGAGTTTTTAGGATCGAGCATATGCGATTAAAGATTTCGGCTGAGATACCAAAACCTCTGGCTCTGGGGTCCAGAGGAAAGACGGAGAGGGATTGATAGATAAATCTCCCCCTTTTTTTTGGGTAATTTACTTCCTCGCCCTCCGACACATTTGTGTTTGCAGCTTACCACCCTTCGCCACTGAACACGACGAAGAAATCAACTACTCAAAACTACTTCTTTCTTAGTTTTTAAAATATTGATTGGTGATAAATGATTCACTAATTGCCTACAATCAATCAACGAGGATAAGTGAACAGTCGGAGGCCCAATCTGTTAGAAGTCGGGTCGTATTATTTTTTTTTTCTGCAAGACTCGGGAAAAGAAACGATAGCTTTTCAATCAGTCTTTAGTTTCTTGATTGATATTTGTTTTAAATAAATTTTCTTCTCCTTTTATTGCGGGTTCTATAGTTAGAAGAAAAAAAAAGGATTATTGTGTGAGAAAAAGGTCGCAAGAGAAAAGGCCGGGCCGGACTATCACTACAAAATAGACAGAAGAAGAGGACGGGAATGAGTAATTTGTGACAAACTGTTGATTCCTCCGTCAACGAGTTTTGAAATTGATATTTATTTATTTATTTATTTATTCCGTACACAGCATAGATTGCAGAGCGGGTGGGTCTGAGTTTTATCAGAATAGTCCTCATGTGAGAGGTTGGCTCTGAGCGAGTAGATAAGGAAGGTAAAATGATAATTCTGCTCCCGCTGCACCATTCATGTGTGAATATTACTGATCAGGGCTTTTAGTCCACTGTAGCTGGTTTTCACAAATACCAAGGAACAAGCATAGCAACTTTATTGACCAAAAAATAAAAAACATAGCAACTCCATCTCGAGAAGGATGTGCCCCTTTCTAATTCACAACCGACAATTATTTTTAAGACTACACGGAAAGAACCAGGAGGAGTAGCTTATAAATAATTATTTCCGGTCGCTTTGATCCCTGAGGCAATGGTGTATTAGATCGTTTAGTAAAATTTTGTCTAATGAAATGTGTATGTGGTGAACGAGACCAGATGCTGGTGGTATCGGCCAGTCTCGTTCTGGCCTTACGAACCTTAATTTGATCGTCCTACACATCCTCCTTAATTGGTTCTTGCGTTGCGGATGATTATCATTTCCCAAATTTAACTATTAAATCCTGGGCATTTCTCTACTTCTATTTACTCTTATAGAAAGAATACAATACAGTGAAAATGTATAATACACTCCTAAGTTTGTTTCATACATATACCATTCTAGATCTCAGACCTGCTCAAATCGACTTCAGATTGGGACCCGAGTTGATCAAATTTATCGGGCGCTCAATTACCATGAGTCCTGTGAGAGTAAAAGACGAGCGAGAGAGAGAGAGAGAGAGGGAGGGAGAAGACAAATAATGGACTCTCCCTTTGATGCGCTAGACTAGATGCTCATCAATCTCAGCAATGCAAGCCAGCTTGGACATCGTACTTATCATTAGACACAGTTTTCAGCAGCTTTGCCTGTACCTTTAAAGCCATCAAAGCTTAGAATCTTTGTCTCCTGTGTTCTCTTACCTCGACGCAATCCTGCTGCTATCTCTGTCTGTCGCCACCCAAAGCGCTCTCTCTCTCTCTCTCTCTCTCTCTCTCTCTCTCTCTCTCTCTCTGCACTGTGCCTGTCGCCACCCAAAGCGCTCTCTCTCTCTCTCTCTCTCTCTCTCTCTCTCTCTCTCTCTCTCTCTGCACTGTGCTGTGTAGATTAGAATCATATATCGATTTCATTACTCCTTAAAAGAAAGGAAAAGTAATGAGAGAGAGAGAGAGAGAGAGGAGGTCAGTCCCTCTCAAAAGAAACGCTACCTGCTCTCCCCCTCTCTCCTAACTCCTCTTTCTCGCCTTTGAGCCTTCAATTCCCTTCTCATTCTCCCTCGCTTTCTTCGTTTGCTTCAATGCGGGAGATTCTTGAGCTAAAGACTCCAACAATATGCCCTTTGATTCTCCACAGTCTACGGTCAAAAGAATTTGCATGTTTTTTGATAACCAAGCTTGTTCACGCCGATGGTAATCAGTTTCAATCAACAAGACCCGCCTTTTCCCCTCTGGAACCCCCTCTCACTTTTCTCTCATCCTTTATCTTTTTCCCCACTCTTTTAATTTCTCGGCTCCTCTCCCCTTTTGCTTCATGATAAATACTCGTAGCTTCGAACAAGAGCAGCACACCACCGCTTTTATCTCGCTTCCGGATTCAAAAAAAGATGCAGAGAATGGAGAGCAGGAGAGTGAGCTTCAGCCTTGATATCAGCGAGAAGCCAATGGCCCCTCTTCGGACAGCCATCGAAGCAAGGCCAAAGGCAAAGACCAGGGGAAGATGTCAGGAGCAAATCTCCGATGAAGATAGAAGCAACTCCTCGTCGTCGATCAGATTGTTCCAGTATCTGAGGAGCAATATAACGAGGGCAATTCGATTAGTCTCCAAGAAGCAGCAGCCTTTGGCCAAGGGCTCTTCCAACATGGTCGTACCTCAGCAGTTTGTCCCCCATAGAGACTCCCATCATTCAGAGGCCCTGGAAGACTGCATCGAGTTCATCAACTCCTCTTGTAGGAAATCCATATGAAAGTGAAGTTTTGTTAAGAGAAGAAGAAATTTTGAATATTGCGGCCACAGCTCTTGATATTTCTTACCTCCTTGTTGTGTATCAATATGCTGGAAGACAATGAATTATTTCGGTGCAAGATCTTCGTGTTGCCATTTTTTTCTCGTACTGTCATCCTTCTAGTGGATCAATCTCCCTCGTCGTGTACTCCCTTGCAACTAGAATTTGCTAAAGAAGAACACCTAGCAACTTTAAATTTATCTCATAAAATCTCAGGGGCGTGCTCCCCCCGGTACAGACAGACAGGCAACCATATGAGCCAATAGGTAAGCAAACAGTAATTCTCCATTGAATCAGAATAAAAGACGAGAAATGGGTTAGCAATACCAGTGAAACCCAAAATTGCATCATCTCCATAATATTCTGTGAGTACATATCTTTAAAGGCTACCACCGGGCATAAATAAATAGAAAAGGTTCTCCGTACAACTACGGGAGCAATAAAACATAATCACTGCTTGATCACAAAGAAAATACAGAAGATGTCGGGATTCATGAATCGAGGGAGAGCTTATCAATGTCTACCACCCCATGGCTAGAAGCTTTCTTTAGTTCTAGCGCCCTCTTATATGGTGGAGCAATTGGGGGCTGAACTGGATCCAAGCTCTGGTAAGAGCCACCTTCTGCACTACTTGGGAGAGGGTATGAACGGTCTGAGTCATAGCCGCTGAGGTCCCCGCAAGCCAAAAACGGAATATAAACCTTGTTTGGTCCCTCCAACCATCCACTACTGCAGTCTGCAAGAAGCTACGAGTGTCAAAATAATTCCTGATTTAATGAATCAGCATCGAGAAAATAGAAATAACAAACAATAAAACTCCTTATCCGAATTCCATATAGATTAAACTGCAGGTAGAAAATATAAAATACCACCCTTTAAATCTTCTTCACTTTCATATAATTAGCAATGGCAAGAGCTAGAACGCTTTCCTTTCTCTTTTGTTGGATAATACAGGATTTCTCCTTTCTTTAAAAAGTGCCCGCCCTTATTAAATTAATGAACTGTCTCCTTTGACCATTGAGAATTATACTTGATTGATAATAATTGATAAAGAGAGAGATATGTAATAAAATGGTTTTGACAACTATTACCTAGATCACCATCCCCTGAAGGACTCCCTACTTTCTCCAGGAGGTGATATAAATCTTTCTCATTAAATCCTTCAGGAGGCGAATAGTTTTCACAAACAGCAAACGCCTCTGCAGAAAAACAAAATAATATATTAGAGTTTTGCTTGAAATATTGAAATGTTATCATCCTGTTTAAAGTAAGAAAAAGCACAGATTACATATAATGACTGTACCCTAAAATATAGTCCACGCAACAGGATTTATGCCTACAAAGTGCATTCAACCCCTTTATTCTAACATAAATACTGGTTTAAGAAAACTTTGAAGGCCTGCAAGAAAATAAACTGCACAGCCAATACAAAGGATTTCCTACCTATCAACTGGCCTATGGGGTGATTCACACCCAAAATAAAATGAAAACAAAAATGGCATAAAATGTCCTGCAGGATCTACATCTGTAAATAGTACCGAAATTCTAATGGTAATCCCACCAGCCTGACAGCAGGTCATCAAACCAAATTCTACAGTCTCTTCTCCATAAATAGTACCATTCCTCATGGCGATAAAATGTTTACAACGGAAAAAGTATCTGGAAAGTTCTTCAGGTTTATATAAACATGGATGAAAAGCATAAAAATGTAAATTAACTGTAATTAACCCCCTCCTGTGCAGCACAGTCCATTAATATATACTTGAAGTTCACCCCTAGTTTTCATACATCTAATCATTTCCTAACTCAAACGACTATCCTATATTGCAAATAAACTAAGAAAAGATTGCTGGCCTTACCAATACTTGAGTTACGGCTGCTTTTCGGTTTTGCAAAGGTAACATGCGAGAAGAACAATTTCAGCTGCATGTATACAAAATTTATGAATCCATCATGTCATAATTATCAGGAATTAAAAAGAAAAATCTAATGGCTCATGCACAGAGACCCCTGAGTGGAATAAATACCTAATATACATTATTTACTTGCTTAAGTATCATACTTTGTTTCAAATTACCATCAAGAAATTATTATTCATGATTTTTAGGAAAGCCTACATCCAAACAAAATGTAATGATCAACACATGTAGTCAGTCAAGTAGAAGAGTAACATAGTTGTTTACAGAAGTAATGTCCACGAATAGTCATTTTACCACCATAAGAAGAAAATGAGTGCAACTTTCTCGTTGGCATTTATTAGGCTAAAAGTTAAGCAGTTTGATCTTCAGGAACAGATGAGGGGAAAAGGCTAGTGAATTTTTGAAATAAACGTTGAAGGCAGCATTAAAGTGTGGAAGCAATTAATTTCTTTGGATATACAGAGAGGTGACTCAGGTGAGGATGGTAAAACATAGAAAAGGATCTTACTTGGCAATAGAGGAGGCTTGTATCTTTACCACGAAATATCTTAGCAATGAATTTACCACCCACTCGAAGCACATGAGTAACAATGGTCAGTGCCTACATGTCGAAAAACCATTAAAGTGAACTATCAGGATTGGTCCAAATCATAAATTCAAAGGAAAACAGATCACCCAGAATCAATTTATCACTTTCTATAAAACCAAGAAGTTCAGTAAGGAAGTTGCACTTACTGCCAAAATAAGTTGCGACTGAACGAATTCATCCATATCATGAAGTCCGGTAACTGCAGTTATTCATTTACATAAGTTCTAATAGCATAAATGTTGCAACTAAAGATACCAATCACCTCTTCCTACCATCGGGAGCACCATCACAAACAACCAAGTCGGCTTTGCATCCATCAAAATGTTTAATGACCTGGTAGGAAATGTGACTCGGTCAGATGAACAACTTAATGCTTAATAAACAAAACAAAATTACTACACAAAGAGTTCCATACTATAACCTAATTGTAAAAGGATCATCAGAAAATAGCTTTTCGAGGACTAAGATAAACTATTATACATTGTATCCAAGCAAAGCAACAGAAAAACTAGTCCTACCAAAATGAGAATCAAGAAAAATAGCAATCAAATCATAAACCAGACTGACATACTATAAGAAAGGCAAATTAACTTGTTGCAATGTAAATTCATTAAGGACTCAAGGGATACAACCAAAGAGTATTAAGAATAATTGACGCGCTATGCAAGAGTTAATTGATTTTCTAGACAAAATTGAATACTCAGACCATGCAACAAATTACTAAGGATCAAAGACAGCAGTGTTACATTACCACTTCAGCAGTTCGAGCATTTGTAATATCACCCTGGACTTGAATAACACCTTCTATTGGAGCCATGGGCTGTAAATCAATTGCAACAATAAGAGGCGGATCGCCATCCCTGTATGAAATAGGAAAAAAAAAGAATTTAAGTACCATGCAAGCTTCGTAACATGGACAAGATGAATGATCAGGACATATTGTGATAAATCTAACATTAACTGCATCTCTTGCAAAAGAAGCTGTCAGGGTTACTACTTGCACTAAGTATTAATTTGATATAGAAGTTGACCTAATAAACTTTTAAAAATATTAAATTATGTGGTTTATTTATTTTTTACATCTGACTGATGATGGTTGTAGATGGTTACATCAACTTGGGGGATTCTCATGTAGTTTTTTCTTTTGTATGTTTCCGACAAGAGCATGTAAAATGAAACTTGTGTGCAAACAAACATTAAATCTTGACCGAAAAAATTACAAAGGCCCTTACCCACACTCTGGAGACAACTTCGCTGGAACATATAACTTTCGACTCAACACCTGGAAAAAAAAAGACAGGAAGCAAGCTATTCATTAGCAGATGAGAGCAGCAACCATCCAAAGAAAATCCAATTCAGAAAAATTTCTAGCCAACGCTCTTAAAATACAAGCTTGTCTCTCGTAAATGTCTTTATTGCATACACCGCTAAAAAATGACAATGACAAGACTCAGTTGCTGTGGAAAAAGCTGTTTGTTAGCAAACACTCAGGACTCATACAGAAGTAACAGAAACACTAGAAGAAGGACCATATAGCAATAAAGAGATATAGAGCTTCTTATATGATGCAGAACAAATAGCAAAGGATAATATAGTGTAGCCCACAAAGCCTCGTTGGAGCTATTTGAAAGTCACTTTAAATTCAAAGAATTAAACTAGTAACAAGTTTTATTTTTTATTTTAAATCAGGATATTAAATATCTTTAATTCAGAAATTTTGAATTTGGTATGACAACATGTTCACCTTTATCTTTTTGTGAGTTATTTGTAATGAATTAGGAACTTCAGTTGACTTTATATTTGGTCTCTAATCTCTATAGGTAAGTTAATTGTTTACTCCCAAAGTCACAATAAGAGAATCTCGATGAATGAAATTCAATTTGAATTGAGATTCATTAGTAATGGCTTTTATTCAGTCTTAGTTTTCTACTTTACTTCCTTTCCTAAATTTATTTATTCAAGCATTTTATATCATTGCTATGATATTATAAGAACTAACAGAAGAAACAGAAACTGATCTACTACAAACAGTGGATCATCAGAGAAAAACTTAAGAGCATTTCATAATAATGTTGTTTATATTCCAGCCACAGAGGCTTGAAAAGCAACATGGTTTAAGTGTTTCTATGAATACATAAATTATCATTTGCTAGAGACAGAACGGTGTAATGTGCTTTGAAGAAATACAATGAAATTGACTATTATTTTTTCAATATTACTACAACACATTATGATATTGTCAGCTTGTGTCAATCTGGGTAAAGTAAATGGCGAATTTCGACGTCAAAACCTCGTGGCAGCCCGCAACTTATAAGAAATGTTTCTTCCAAAATAAATGAAAGAAGAAATCAGGAGGAGTAAGAGTGCTAATACCTGACTCCAACTACCAGGGGCGGCACACAGATCAACTACACGCTTCACTCCTACATGCAAAGATTTTCAGGAGTTAGAGACTATTATCATTATCCATGTTAAGCAAAAAAAAAAAAAAAAGAATACATCCATTACTGCATCCAAGGAGAAAATATTAGCTTTAAAATGAGAGTATAGAACCACGCAGAGAGGATCTGTTGCAGGGTACACAGGGTACGTGTTAAAGAGCTATTGGCAAATTGAAGAATCAGGGTGAGATCACCTTGAAAGATGTTGAATTCCTCATCAATTTGGAGGAGCTTGAAGGCGCTCCTCGCCCTCCAACCTTCTTCCTTTGCCTTGCGGTAGTATATATCCTGCCCAAATCATCACACAGTACAAAAACGGTCTCAAATGCCGAAAGATGAAATCGGATCATAGCAGTAAGGAAACCAATCTCGTTCCAGTTTCAATCCAATTTAAGAGGAGGAGGAGGAGGAGGGGTTAACAGATTTATTAGGCGACGCATGCATTACCCTCTTGTCCTTGGAAGCTTTCCCCATATCTCCTCGCTGCCGCTTCCTCAGCAGCCCAAAACACCTAGCAACAACGATTTGGGAGCAGCCGGGATTGGATCAGCAGTTCCGCGAGAGGGCGGTTAGCGCTATTATAAAGTAAAATTAAGATAAAACCCTAAAACCCTAATCATTATAAAGTTTCTAATGAGGGGTAGAAACTTGCTTATATTGACGAAAGCAGAGGAGGAGGAGAGACAGTAAGGTACCTTGTTTAAAAAGTCTCCGTCTTGTTCTCGGGATCGATCCTGTTTGGCGCGCGGAGCGGAAGGGGACAGGCGGCGGAGAAGAGAGCCGAGGCGGGAGGGGGGGGAGGGAGGAACAAC